ACGACTTGAGTTCAATTAGGACTTTTTTTTTTGTTTTCATTTCCAAGTCTTCAGATGAACAATCTGTATTTATATATTGTTCTCTATGAGCAGCTGTGGCAGCTTCCTGAACTGTGCATGTTCTTTTTTTATACCACCCTTGTTGTTTCTAGCCTCTAGGTGGATATTGGGTATGTCCCCAAGGGCTATTTGCAGCCCCATGGCTGGTGAGTGTGAAGGGGAGGGAGAGGAGAAAGAAGGTTTGGGAGCAAGAGCATCCCAGGGTGCTGAGCAGATGCTCTCAAGAGCACAGGAAGCTGGGACTCAATAGCAGGGAGTTGGTGGTGGCTGTGTTTGGCCAAGTGTGTGCGTGCAGGTGTGTGTGGCACCTCTGGCACCTTTTCCTCTTGTCTAAAGCACTCCCTACGGCTTCCCACATCGAGCTGCTTGGCTTGGGAAGAGCAGGCTGGCATCTCGATTTTCATGTCACCTTGTGGTCGATATGGATGTATTGGGAACCTTTGGATGGAGAGACAAGTTGGTCTTGGTACAGTATTATTTTCCCTTCTGCCTGCATGCCATGGGGACCTCCTTGTTCATTTCTGTACTGGTGCTGAGAAGGGTAGGACTCAAACTGCTCAGATGGAACAATGCAGCAGCTATTTATTAAGTTATTCCCCACCTTCCCAAAGCCAGGACTTGGAGAGCTTGAGCTCACACTAACCCAAGGCTCCTTAATTCTTTTATGGAGACAATAAGTAAGGAAGAAACTGATGGTTTTTGCTCTATAGATCTCCAGAGTTTTTGGGTAGGGATCCAAAAAATTTACTTGGGCTACTACAGTGCTAGACAACTGTCTTTTCTGATGTTGTTCCAGTAAGTGCCAATGCTGTTCATAATTGTTTTCCAGTGTCATTAAGAATTTGGTTTTTTGTGCAAATTTCTGATCTGAACCTGGAAGCAGGTGGTAATTTTAAGTTAGTTCCTACTTTTAAGGACAATGCTCTGTTAATGAAAACGGATCCTCTTCACAACTTTGGTGTATTGTAGATTATAATGAAAGATGTAAAATATTCAGGCTTTTTTCCTTTTTTGGACTTTGTATTTTACTGCATGTCTCTAATTTTTAATCAATAAAGAACAAATTGTCCATTGCCACGTGTTTCGTGTGTGGTTTACGTGTCACTGGGTTGGATGATGTATCTTGGGGAAGGGGTTTGACTGAGTGGTGCCTACAACCCCTGGGACATTTCTGTTTGGGATGTTGGAAAGTTCAACAACCTCCAGGAAGACTTGGTGAAGAAGGGGTGGGGATGCTCTTCAGGTGTTGTGTACAGAAATGGAGCCAGGATGGCCCTTAGGATTGTACCCTGAGGGCTTGTCTCCAGTTGAAAAGTGTGCTCCAAGCTCTACGTGCCCTCTCCAGTGGTCTGGAACCTCGTCTCCATCGTGGCGTATGGCCTGAACACCACGGAGAAGTTCAGCAGTGGCTGGGTGTACCCCTCAGACCATGAGAGGTACACCACGGTTGCTCAGGTTTGTGGCCTCCTTTTGTTTCTGATTGCTTTGTGCTGTGGTAAATGGTGTTTTGAAGGTTGGGGTGCTGAGCTTGGACCAGGCATGGCTGGAGGTGATGTTCTTTCTGTGCTTTGGCTTTAGTGTGCAGTGTCTTTCCAAACTGCAGCAAATTGATTCCTCCTGACCTTTACCCAAAGCCATGGACCGGTGTGTCATGGATACATATGCTGGTCAAGGTCCTGAGGAGATCATCTCAGCCCAGAGATGTGACTCGGCTCCAATCAACCATCGTTGTCTCCTCACCTGTTGTTGGAAACCTCCAGCAGTGGGGTTCCCACTCCTTCCTTTGGTCCTTCATGCAGGGCCTCAGTATCCTCCAGCCTCCTCTAAACCTGGTGCCCAGCTCAGGCTCGCCAACGTTGGCCAGAGCAGAACAGGCCTCGTTTACCTGTCTAAAGTTCTAGCAGTGTTTTGTGCCTGTCCTCTGCCTCCTGCTTCTCCAGATCTGAGACCCATGACTGGTGTCTGACTGACCATCCTGGGTTTCCCCATTTAAACCATGACAGAGAAGAGTGGATGAGGCTGCTTTGGGCCCTAGACTCCTTCTAGCATGGAGCCAGGAGACAGCCAGGGGAGATGGCAGGATCAGGCCTGGGGAAGGCTCCTGAGCTCCTGGACATGCTTGATTCTGCTTTTAGCAAGGTTTGACCTGTCCCATCTCCTGCTGATGAAGCAGACCCCAAGGTGAACAGGCACCTCAATTTCATCCTCCATCTGAGTTTCTTAATTTACTTGGACAGACCCAATTTGTGTTGTCCGGCACCTCTGCCTGGTCCAGTGTCTGTCTGCTTATCCCTGTCCTTGGTGTTCCTTGCTTGTGGCTGCTGAGCTGGACTTACCTTGAGGGCAACACCTCTTCTCCAACTGCCTGGAGAGCTGATGTACTTCCAGGTTTGACCTGTGGTCAACTCAAAGGGACAGCCGTGGTCTGGTTTCCATCATGCTTGTACAGTGCTCTTCCCATGGATCTGTGGGAAGGAGAAGGAGCATCCACATTGCTTTTGAGCACCTCTGTAGGCTTTGCCTCATGAAAGAACCCCCAGGCAAATGCTGTTCCTACATCAGGGACAGGCTGAACACAGTTGATTTTCATGTTCTCAATGATCATTTTAAGGCATGATGGGATTTGAGCTGAGATTTGCCAAAGCTGCCTCAAGCAGCATGGCCCTGGGGCAGATTTCTCCCGTCCCTCTATGCCTTCTCCAAGTCTTCCCTGCATACAGCCCTGCCAGCCTGCGGGGTGGCCCAGAACTGGTGGGAAGAGTGGTTGTCCTGTGTGTGGCTGGCTTGTGGTTGCACCAGGAATCTGCAATAGAAGGAGGAGATGGAATCTGCCTTTTCCTGGGACCACAGCCAATTGGCTGCCCTTCTTCATCTCTGGCTCTGACCATCCATCAGCATCACTCCCTGGACTTTTCCCAGCTCTGCATCTTGCTGGGGTGTCTCAGCCCCTCTGAACCTTGCTATCTGGAGTGGAACCGCTGGGAACAGTCTCATCAGTTCAGCAAATCATAGAACAGTTTGGGTTGGAAGGGACCTTAAAGCTCATCCAGTTCCAACCCCCCTGCCAGCAGCAGGGACACCTTCCACTAGACCAGGTTGCTCAAAGCCTCATCCAGCCTGGCCTTGAACACTTCCAGGGAGGGAAAATTCACAAATGCTCCACTTGGAGTTGCTTTGGAGAAGGGTGTTTTCCTCTATCAGTGCCACCTGTCCCTGGCAGAGAAGGTGACCCTGGCAGAGGAGGTGACCCTGGCAGAAGGGGTCCTTCTGCTCCAGCCGGCAGCAGGTACCGAATGTTTGCAAGTGGCCCAGAGATGAGTAATATATTACAGGCTGTACTTGGAACAGGTGAAACATCAGGCATAAAGTCTGTCCTGACTTTAGTATCTGTGTGGCTGGCTGTGACTGCAGAGCTTATCTGAGGTTTAAACATTAATTCCAGCCCTCTGGAAGGTCTGTCCCAACACTGTCCTGGTGCAGACGCAGCTGCCCATGTCAAGCATTGGGGAAATTTTGAAAGCAGTTGGTGATTTTGGGCCGTTTCAGAAATGGCTGGTGCTTCTCACCTTGTTTCCGTGCCTCAGTGTGGCTTTCCACCAATTTTGCCAACTTTTTATGGTTCCACAAGTGCCTCATCACTGTGACACCAGCTGGATCCGCGCCATCGGCCCCAACCTGACCGAGGAAGAGCAGCTGAACCTCACCCTGCCCCGGGACGCGGATGGGGCGTACGAGCAGTGCTCCATGTACTCACCGGTGGACTGGAACCTCAGCTCCATCATGGAGTATGGTCTGAATGCCACGGAGAAGTGCAGCAGTGGCTGGGTCTACCCCTCAGGAACACCACCATCCCTGCTGACTGAGGTCTGTAGTTGACGTGCCAGGGACGTGGAAGGGATGGGACACCCAGACAACCTCCCTGCTCTGCAGTTCGGTTGAAGCTGATGACAGCCATTGTGCAACCAGGCTGGGCTGAGATTGATGTCAGGTGTATTTTGGGGACCTTGACTCCACCACCCAACCCCCGGGTGTGGTCCCAGAGGGGTTGCATCCAAGCAGGCTGCAATATAGATGCCAGCAGGGCCACGGGAAGAGCCTGTGGAGACATTAATTGAACCTGCTTTGGCAGGAGGGTTGGACTAGATCTCCAGAGGTCCCTTTTAACCCCCTACCATTCTGTGATTAATCCCTCCAGGTGGGACCTTTTGAGTCTCCCTGCCCCAGCTGCCCCTCTGCAGAGAAGGGGTAAGCTTCCAACTTGTCCCCTGTGCTTCAGACACCCCAGCCAGGAGCTCAGCGCTTGGTTTCTGCTCCCCTCATGTGGTGGGAACTGTCAGGGCAAGCAGCTGTGGGGTGTCTACCTCGAGGTTTCAGCGTGGTCTCTCCAGTGACCACATTCTGTTGTCACAAACAGCTGAGTTTCTCACCGCTCCTCGCTCTGTGCAGAGGTACCAGGTATGATGAGGAGAGGAGAGGTTGCAAAGCCACAGATCTGATTGTCACCAGGAGCTTTGTCAACACCAGCAACCCTCCAGAGAGCAGAGCTAAACTTCTTTCAGTGCTTTCTGACCTCTCTGTATCTCCTGTACGTGCTCTTCCCTGGGTGACTATATTTTCTACAGGTGCTTTCTGGATGCTGGCAGTTGTAGAACATCTCTTTAACAGAAACTGCTTGGGCCAGGAGTCACCATTGCACTCACTGTCTTTCTTCTGCGAGGGAAGGCAGTCTAGGAGGAAGCAAGCTACTGGGAGTTCTGTCCCATTTTAAGCAAAAGTTGCCAACCAGGAGGCTCCTGTGAGGGTATCTGGGCTGGGGGGGATTCCTGCAGGTCCCAGTGTTCAGGAGAGGGGTACCAATGAGCTCTCCATGGGCTTGTCCCACCAGTAATGTGTGCGCTATGTGCACACCATAGGACTTCTATCCTTGGGGGTGGGTTATCTTCTCCCAGGGGTGGAATGAGAGCTTGAGCACCCGACTCTTGTGTCTACCATGGACCAGAAGAGCTGCTCACACCCAGAAAGCAGCTGAGGTCTGTTGAAAGAAAAAGCATCCATGTTTTCTTTCTCCAGTTTGACCTGGTATGTGACAGGAAGGACCTGAATGACATCTCCCAGTCTGTCTACATGATGGGGCTGTTCCTAGGATCCATGATCTTTGGGCCACTAAGTGACAGGTGAGGAGACCCAACTGTCCTCCCAGGGTCTGTGCAAAGCCGTCAGTGTGCAGAGCAGCACGCTGCTCCCAGCCTGGCTGGACACTGCACCCCGTGTGTTTTGTCACCGCTCCTCACTAACAGGACCCTGACCAAAGTCCTCAGGTCCTGTAAGGACATGGACACACCGGGGGGTGGAAGGGAGATGGGTACAGTGTGTGCACAGGGTGCTTCACACGTCAACCCAGTGTAGCCTGAACCTTACCACCCTCAAGATAGGGTGATACCATCACTGTGTAACCTGCTGGACCCTTCCCCATCTCTACAGGGTCTCTCCAGCCGTGTCTTCTCTCTTTCTCCCCAGGATTGGCCGCCGGCCAGTCATTCTGATCTCCGTCTTCCTCCAGGGCTTGTTTGGTGTGGGAATTGCCTTTGTGCCCCATTTCTATGTGTACATGGCCTTCAGATGTGTCGTGGGGGCTTCACTGTCAGGGATCACCATGACGATACTGGCCTTGGGTGAGTAGGATGCCCTTGCCCT